ATCTGAACTTTATATGACTTACATTTTCTACTTTAATTAAGTGCACCTCATTAGTTAATCTCAGAATACATATTCTCATGTTAATAACATGCTTGTTATTGAGACGAATGTTAATAATTGTTAGTTTGAAGTAAAATGGAAGAGAATTCAGTCCTTTGATTTAATAGTTGTGATACAGATGCTTTTATTACTAAGCCACATTACATCTTTATTTAAGCGATGTCGTTTGCAGTTTCCGTTATTTGTAACATTTTTATAACTGGAGAGTGTAACTAGTAATTTTCACTTTTTTATTGAAAACATGATCCATTCCGGATATAAACCCACATTTAAAATATCTCGTAATTAAATCAGCTTCAGGAAACGTTGTGTATCATAAACGTGCTATTACTGTTAGTAACTTTCGTAATTATAAGCAGATATTGACAATATATTACAGATATATATTACTCGGTTGTAAAACTATAGGTTTTAGATAGAACAATAAGAAGACGGAGTTGATCTTATTGTTCTATCGAAATTTATAAAAGGGACAAATTGCTTTAATATAGGTTTTAGGTCGTATCTAAACGCAATCGGTTATTTAATTATACTAGTTTCTGTCTTTTTTCTGACAAATATTGAAGTTAGTTACTAAAAATAGATTATTTAATGGATAATATACGCAATAATTATAGACGATTCCAAAAGGCAATCAGGTGCAATCTAAATAAAACAGTGATAATGTCTTTTGTTATGACGTTATTTGAGACAAGCTTGAATTCCATGGATAGCACTTGTTTAACCCAGATTACTAGCCAATGAAAGCCAACTAGTGTGAAAAATGTATTCAGAACTTCTAATCTAACTACCTCCAACCACCTAATATTGAATATAATTTGAGATATACCCATCATATATTAAGTCACTGACTAAATCACTTATCCTATGTATTATATATAATACTGCTTTAGTTTTACAGTCAAACTACCATCACTCATAATTTCACAAATTTATTTACATTTGCTTCATTTCAAACTATCAGGTAGCATTGTAGAACAATGAAAAACAAAAAAACTTGAATCTATAAATTTAAACTGAAGGACTTCATAACTTCCTGATCTCTCTGAAAAATGTAAATATTCATTATTTTTTAAAAATTAGATCACAAAGTATTTATCATATATCATATAAGCTTTATCCATAGGTCAGTGAACAATAATAAAGTTTTAGAGGATCTGCAGATTTATAGTCTACTTCGTTATTAGATCTACTCCTAAAATTGTAGGTTTGTTATTGATGGGACTGTCTAATCTGTAAGATCTTACGTGGAAGTCACATCATTTTATATACCGACTCGTCGTATCGTAATAATCACCAACATATGATGGAGAACACATTTAGGTTGAAGATAAGGAATATAGTTAATATGAATAAAATTAAGTCATAGAGGATGACCACGCCTGCGAGGCTGAGCCACGCCACCCGATGAATTTAATTCCGAATGAATGTTACCTCGTTCACCAATATTGACCTTCTATTAGTGTTAAATGCTGAAAGTCTATTTTCACAGTTATCTCATGTTCAGTTCTGAGGATTGTGATTAGGATCTAATGCCACTACAGATCTATAAAATCATTCAAAACAGTCATAATTTATACCACGTTTTGGTTACTTTGAAGGTAAATGTAGTGAAATATTTGGTAAAAAAATTTCATAATTCTTTTCAAGTAAAATTTGCCAAATGTTCTTTAGAATCATTCTGATTCACGTGCACAATAAATTATCATTCAATTTATACTCCATAACAATTACTTTACAAACATCTTACTACTATTCTACTTCATCTGTAATCTCTAAGTTATGAGACTTGATTTTTCAAAATAACGTCAGCGAGACTACGATTTATGGACGAACCAATCAGATATAAGATAATAGGTCTTGAATGTTGGCGCGAAATTCATTAATCCATTTGTCTAATAGCATTTTGTATTTTAGCTTATGTCAATTTGTGATGAATATCCTAAATCTAATTTTTAACCTTAACCATCAACTGCAAATTCGAATTCTACTCCTTCGTAATGGTTCATAACCCTTATTAAGTCCTAGTTAGTAAGTAGATATTCCTCAAGGTCACTAGAGCATCTCTCAAAGTCGTCCATAAATTATAGTCTCGCGCTGTTCGGAATACCAAGGTTACTAATACACTTCTATTTTACACATATATGTAGTTTCATTAAAAGAAATTCTAAAAAGAAGCTAAGTTTTATCCACACAAATCTTACATGCATGAAAATAAATAGGGTTATTTTAGATAACAGAAGTGCTTTTCTTAAAACAAACAGTTAGTTACCGACATCAAATATCACTCGATTGAATTTGTAAAACAAGTTTTATAATTATGTACTGAATCAAGGTATAGCAACGATTTGAGGTTAAAGATTCTAGACTACCTACATCAGTTACATTCCAGGAGGTAATGAGAAAAATTCGAATCCGGGAAATATATTCTTATTGACTTACAAATTAGACAATAAACATTTCAAGATGTTAAGTGTAGAAACAAGTTTAATATTCATGTATGTGGATAGTTATGATATATATATATATATATATATATATATATATCAACAACGATTTTCCACTTTTCAATTGTTTAGTAGTTCCTGTTAGTTCATGATGTGAATCATCTTTAGAGTGAATTAAGCCTTCATCAAACAATTTCATTAAGAAGATTAACTAATCACTTACTTACCTACGCCTGTTACTCCCAATGTAGCATAGGCCACCGACCAGCAATCTACAACCCACTCTGCCCTGGACCTTCTTTTCTAGTTTTGTCCAATTCTTGTTCCTTTTTTGAGTCTATTTCCATTTCTCGGCGTAATTTGTACTCTGGTCTTCTTCTTTTCCCTTGGCTCTCAGGATTCCATGTCAGGACTTCCCTTGTGATGCAGTTGGGTGCTTTCCTCAATGTGTGTCCTATCCACTTCCAGCACTTGTTCCTGATTTCTTCCTCCACTGAAATGTGGTTTGTTCTCTCCTATAATAGGTCGTTGCTAATAGTGTCCGGCCAGCGGATCCGACGTATTTTGAGTAGACAACTGTTAATATACACTTGTATCTTCTGGAAGATGGCTTTCGTAGTTCTCCAGGTTTCCGCCCCATACAGTAGAACTGTCTTGTCATTTGTACTGAAAATTCTGACCTTGGTGTTAGAGCACCTCTGGGGTTACTACCGGTTCCAAGCCCGGATAAAGGAAGAACGTTGGACATGTGGCCCCTGCGAGCTTCGAACTCAGGACCCATCAGCCTCGCGCCAGGTGTTTAACCAACTAGACCACTGAGCCGGCCGGCATCCAACGGTGTTAATGTCTAACTTTAACCAATCCACGAAATTGAGCGACACATTCACCATTGTCATCAGTGAGTTACTATCTCACAACAGACCTGGTTGAAGTCCACTGGTAACGGCTCCTAGTGAGAAGCCGCGGGGGCGGGATCGGGGTGCGCATCGCTGAGGAGTCCCATACTAGGATGAAACAGCCGTCCAGTGCTTCCAGGTTTTCCATGGTGGTTTAGCTTCAATTGACTTATGATTTCAACTACTGAAATTCCTAAAATCTCCACAAAACCCCTTCTGATACAGTCTATACTACTTAAATATTTGTTGTTTAACTGATGTTAGAAATATTTGTATATTAAATGAGTAAAAATAATAAGAATGTCTTCGACTTTAGACTGGACCATTAATATTCAATAAGGTTATTAGGATTAAAAATTTCGAAATTAAACAGTTGATGTAATAAAGGGGTTTGAGTTTCGCTACCATTAAATTAAGAGGCTCACGTAAACTGGTCTATTCAAATTCAAAACTCATAAGAATTATCCTTTTAAGATCACATTCTGAAACCTCATATTTCATGGAAGATATCAAGCCGTCCCGTCACTAGGCGAGTATTTTATGACTTCAAATATTAAATGTATTCCAACAGTACGTTCACTTCTGCTATAGTGTATGTTGTTTCACTGTGTTTTGCTGTTTTCAATGCTACATTCCTAATACCCCTGAGTTATTTTGCCTAGTTTTTTTAACGGCAATTTTTGACTACGCAATGTGATTTTATTTTATACATTTGAATTATGATTAAAACTAACTGAGCAATATTGGGCTCAATTCTCCAAAAAGCATTTGTAAGCTGGATTTAGAATTGATTGGTATAGCTAGTAATGAAATCCAGGAGTCGTGGTTAGCCTTTTTCGTAACTAGTTGGCTGAATTTATTTACATCACAGGATTGATGTCCACACCGGGACTCAAATCTCGAATTCTAGCCTCTAACTCTCAACGCATTGTCCACCAAGTTGCTGAGTCCAGTTACTCACTAATCTACACAAAGGGGTATGACGTTAATATCATTACCGCTAAGTGTTTCAGCTTTCCTGTTGCTGATATTCCTGACTAAATATTGATCAGTCTTCGTTAGTATAGCATATCTCATAAGGATAGCCTCCACATAGCTACTACTCCACAAATTGTATAGATTTCTTCCTTTAATTATGAAACAGTTGATATTAATTAACGGATCTACAAAAGACCGATTGCAGAATTTTCTATTAGTGTTGCAAGCTGGAGACGTTCAAATCACTAGGTCGAAATACAATGGTTCACACTTTTAACTTCTGCGAGTTTGTGACAATGCAAGACTAAAACCTAGTTCGATCAGTAATACCTACTCTACTCCCAGTACTATTTAACTCCACTTATTACGAACTTGTATTAAAATTTCGTCAATCAATCGCTATTTCAGTCAATAATCAAGGAATATCAATAAAATATTACTAACACTTACTGTGTTGTTTTTAAAACTATTTATGTAAATAGTAGTAATAAACATCAGATTATCGTAATCGCCAAATAAAATTGTATAATCTGTATTTCACTCCAGATAACTCATATGGTGGGAACTACGAACATCATTTTTCAGGTTATTAACAAACTATCAAGGTTCATATGAAAAAATGTCAGAAAAGTGTAAGTTCTGTTCATTTACTTCTTTTTTTTTATATTTTTCGACGGTCACTTCACTTATCTAATGGTTATCATATAGTAGGTTTTACTAACAAAAAAATAGTAGCTCAGTTCTAATTGTTTGTATAATTTACAAACTTGGATTACATTATTTTAATGTTTACAATGGAAACTATGTTAATAACTCGAACATAATAATTCACTGATATTTGATACTAATCAAATCTCTGGGTTCATTTAAAATAGATAACCAATGAATAAAATATAATACTCCATAATCGATCAATATTACATAAAAAGCTTAATGATTATCATTCGAACTCCAAAAGCTCAGTTATACTGAAGTTATTATGAGTTATCCTAAGGTTTTGTATCAAATATTATTGATGATGCCACGTTCTTTCAACTAAAGCTAACGCTGTACAAATAAATAAAGCTGTTTCCTTCAATGGCAAGAGGTACGATTTTGGCATTAGATAAGGTGAGTTTTAATTCATGGAGAGTTATCGATTCTCCTGATGAGTACATACCAGTAGGAAACCTATGTTTAAAGCTTCATTTCTATGTCCTCCAACAATCTAACATCGAAACATATTAAATTACGACAGTGAGTCACCTAAACTAGTGATTATACTCAACTTGATCGATTAAATTCTATCACCATTAAAGCCTAAACATCATGATACTAATTATCACCTATTAATCCGTTCGTATAAATATTATCAGCCACATCTCATAAATAAACCAACCGAATGTGACTGAGAATCCCTTAGGCAACATCTATTCCGTCAATAGCATAAGTACATATTATTAATGAGTGTCAAAGTGTATGAAACCTATTCCCATTCAGGTGTTTTCTCCATTGTACTTCCAAGAATAATTAACTGATAGGGCGAATAAAAGTAGTAAATCATAGCTAAAATATTAGAAACTGAAGATTTTTTGCTGAACATTTAACAGTAAATATCTGCAGATTGTTTGTGACTGTTTACGTTTTCAGAATTTTCGGGGTAACTTCTTATTAGACCAATTAAACTTGTAATAATAACCGACTCTAAATTGTGTGTATACTAACTAGTATCTTCCGATTATCGAGTTTTCATATCCAAGTTAAGTGTCTGGATTTATTGACTAAGGGGGCTTTTGATGTTGTGTTACAGTAGGAACTACTGCAATTGATTTTTATTCTTGTTTTTGCTAGATATTAAGACTTGATGAACTGCTCCCCTATATGACTGAAATTGTTGGTGTTTATGCCAGCAATATATATGCCCTAACCTTTTACTGACTGTATGCCGGTATCTTTTTAAAGATTACCCGTGAGTTATAGTTAAATATTAAGTAAACCTGCATTGGGCGATTAATCAAAAGCAGAGTTTATTTTAGCAAGAAACAGATTATTTATTGCGTAAGCGACCGGTGATTATTGAATGTTCAGTAAAAAGTTGTATGAATTGTTGAGTTTTAATTGAGACCATGATCCGATCATTGTTAGATCGCTACTAAAAACATAGAAGCACTGAATGTCCGCTTCAAAGTGTTACGGAACGACTCAGCAGTGTGCACCCATGATCCCTCACGTGGGACTAGAACCCAGAATCTTCGATCTCTCACGCGAAAGCTTATCCTCTAGACCACTTAGTCGGTATCCAGCGGTTTTAATGTCTAACTTCAACCAATCCATTATCTCATTATCTTCGGTGGGTAACTGCCTCAATTAAAATGTCATTTTTCACGAAGTAATCTAATGTTTAGGTGTCACTAAACTACGTAATATAAATAATGCTCATAACATCAGTCAAGCCGGCGGCTCTACACATTAATCTATTTGTATGAAGTTCATCACTTTCATCTATCTGTTTTTAGCTATTGTATAGATGTATTTAAGGGTATCTGCTAGTTAATCAAAAAATAATGCTTGTTTACTATTAGTTTTCAGTTTGGAAAATGTCAAAGGTCACACAGAAATACTTCAAAATACTGTTAATGATAATTAACTTAACAGAAGTACGTTGTGATAGACATTCAAAATTCAACCCATGTTAATCATAAAACCGTTCTGAAAATCGAACTTATTGCACTTCAGGGTAGCTGGAGGGAAGGAGAGAGAGAATAGTTAACTTATATTATGCTGAAAACACCACTGAATAATCGAATTCATAGCAGTCAACTAAGTTGGTTACTTAAAAAAGCAACTAAGAAACCCACACCTTAAAGTAATAAGTTCAAACCTTATCAAAAATAAAAGTAATCAAACTTTCTTCAGTTTCTCATGGCTTCAAATGATTGTAATTAATAGTTGGACAATAAAGAATTATATATTCTGACCATGTTTAAGAAAACTATCTAATAAAGCAGTAAAACTGTAATGTAAACGTAGATTTACCAAAGACAATGAAATCTGTGACAAATATTCCTAAATTTGGAAGTTCACCCTTTTTTTTGTTCATATTTTCTGAGACTATTGTTTATTGTAAGCACAGAAAGATACAAATTAAATGAATTCACATCATGAAAAGTTTTAATGGATTGTATTTATTTATTCGTTTCAATTTAACTGATAATATAACACTATTTTTATGCTTTTTCAAGAACACTTGATGAAATAACGTCCAGATATCTTAAAAGTTATAAACTACTATAAGTTGAAAACTTTGTGCTTAGAAACAACCTTAGTAAAACATACAATGAGAAGTTTTCTAATTACAAAAATTTGAATTAATATAAAATCTTTATTTATCCGGTTAACATATCATAATCAGCAAAATGCTGTTACTTTGTATTACAAATTGAACGGTTTTACTAAGTATCATATTTTGTCTCTTATGGTTATCCATAGTGTTCTTTTTAAAATCAGTAATAAATCGGAAACTATAAAGCGATCAGTTTTCTTTGTTCTGAACAAAGGTTGAAACTCATTCATATAAGTTATAAACCACTAAAGAATAAACTCTAATCTTAACAAAATATATACATAACTAGAATTGGCATAATTCATTCGAATGTTATGCCAGTTTATGTAGCTCACCGAGCTTGCTGCTCAGTTAGTAGTGAAATATAATCTTCGTTACATTTGATGCGATTATTATAAAATGATAGTTGATTAATAATTGTTGGCAGAATATTCAGTTGAGAAATGAAACAAATTTAAACTTGCCCCAGTTATAGTCTCTTCATAACGGAGAAAGCTTTTCATAAACCTTCCGAGATTTAAACACTAGTCCCCGATCGGAGCTTCTACTTTGGTATAGTGACCAGGCCTGTTTATGAGGATAGCTCACCCGAGCTATCTTAGCTGGAAAATCTGTTCTTGTAGGTCCAGATATATAGATTAGAGAACAGTTAAGCAAAAAGCAAAAACTTAGGGTATAAGGACAAATTCGTATTGCTGACTGTAGAGAGGTGACAGAGCTGTAAGGTGTTTTCCTCCAAAAAAACACCATCTGTATCGATGCCGGATTCTCACAACGGAAGGAAGGAGTTAAAAAAGATAGACCGTACAAGTTTCATGAGTCACATCACCCCACGAATTCCCAGAAATCAAAAATGTTGTTTCGGGACCGATTACATCACCTAGATTCTTCACAGAAAGCGTTGACTGCTTCACTTATCTTGAGAGTCTCATCAGCCTTACTGGGTTGGTGTCCTGCGACGTCTGGGCTAGCGTTAAGCAACCTGAATGGCAAATTGATGTAAGTCCTCCAACTCTTAGTGAGCTGAAAAGATTACAACCAATCCAAAGAGAAGGAGAACAGTCGGGCCTGATCAACTAATCCCTGAGAATTTTAAGGATGGTGGCTCAGTTCGAGCAGCTAGAATAAGTGAACTACTAGCTAACATCTAAAAACTGGACGTAGTCCATCTGACTGGTCTCAATCGCTGATCGTCTCAGTTCATAAGAAACGATAAAAATCCTTTTGTGACAATCACAGAGCAATCAATTTATCTAATATAGCATCTAAAATATTAGCCTCAATACTTCGGTATCTAAACAGAGCTCTTGAAGAGCCAACCCGAGAAAACCAGACTGGTTTCAGACATGGACCTGGACATGTAGACCGAATATTCACCCTCCGACAAATTATGGAACGTAGACATACTCCCCGACGTCCGATTACAGTTGTATTCCTTGATCCTAAGGCAACATTCAACTTTGTTTATCGTGAGGTTCTGTGGCAGTGTCTGTCATTGAAAGGAGTACCAAAGAAGTACACTAACCTTGTACAGACTTACTACTTGCAAATTTCTGGTCGAGTCAGAGGTCATAGCAAACTGTCATCGGAATTGGTTACTTCAAGTGATGTTCGTCAGGATTGTCCTCTTTCCTAATTTTTATTTAATTTTGTCACAGACATGATTTTAGCGATAGTACATCCATCGTCTGACTTTTTCGGGGGTTAATTTTGTAACGGGGGATTCACTTGTTGACTTAGAGTACGCAGATCATATAATACTGTTTGGTGAAGACACTGACAAAATGCAGTCTTCTGATCATCTCATGCATCAATGCAACCATGTTTGGGATATATCTCTTCTAAATGCAAAACGCTGCTCTAGAAATGGTCTGCACCAACGCCTAAACTAATGTTAGTGAATAAAATATGTCGACCATTTCATTTATCTTGGAAGTCTCAATAACCCTGGTGGATTGGTGTTTGATGAAATCTCGGAAGAGATTCGGTAAGCTCGGTTGGCGCACACCAACTTGCGTCGCTTGTGAAGTAGGCGGAATGTCTGTTTACCAAACAACGATCGAGTGTATTGCCTAGTAGTAGCTCGCCCTGTTCTACTTTCTAGATGTGAAACATGATCATTAATAATAAGTGTAGATACCTGACTGGATTCCGCCTAATTGTCATAATCAATGGTTAAAGACTTTCAATGACATGGCTCAAAACTATTTTACGGGCGCAGGTGCATACACTCTTTACCTTCACCAAGATTCTAAGCTTCTGAATTTTTCGTGATTTTTTTATTTCACTAATTTATCTTTTCTTCAACCG